ATGGAATAAAAATCTACTTTAGGAACAAAAAGGTGAGGGAATATCAACTTTGGGAACAAGCTTGGGGGGGGGGGAATCATATTGACCTTACCCAGTGGTTGAAGTGGGAATATTGGGGAAGGGGCTGCTTTGAATCATGCCAGGCAGGTGCAGACTCCTGGAGACCCAAACAGCAGCCCCCAGAATTTCCTCCCTACCAGTGCGAGGAGTTACAGCAGTACCTGCGATTCACTGAGAGGTTTCTGCAGAGGTGAAATGGCAGGGGAGGTGCTGAGGAGGCGGCAGGCCTGGCCATTAAGGAGCATGGCTGTTGCCATGGCAATGGCAGCAGCAGGCAATGCATCCTTTGGAGCTCGGATCTGCTGCCCCTGTGGATCCTGCTGCCTGAGGCAGCCGCTTCTCCTTGCCTCATGGGTGGTCCGGCCCTGAAGTAACTAGTCAAGGCAACATTAGGGGACTGTGGCATCTGGGTTAGTAAGTGGGACAAAATTCTGCTCACAAGATGTCTTGCTAACACGTTTGCAGCCAAAATCTGCTAGCCAAGAGCAGATTTTCTGAAATAAAATACTCAAGCAAGATTAGAGACTAAGTTGCCCAGACGGACAGAGAGCTTGACATTCTGATGTCCAGAATCTGTACGTGTGGCTATAGAAGAGGGTGGCTCCGCCCACCCTTTTGGAGGTAATTTGTGTAGGCCTTACATTCCCTATGCATGGGTGCAAACTGTGATGCTGTTAGGCTGCTGTTTAATGGAAAACATGAAAAACACCTGTGCTGATGAGTGATTTACAGTGGCCACCCTTGAACTTTGATAGCTGACAGCCACATGACATCATGATTTCAGATGACTGACAGGGGGATGGTGCTGCCTTCCTGTCAAAGTTGGCCTGGGAGGGAGATATGGGTCTAACCCACTGGTGGGATCCAAGTCATTACCCCAACATAATGGGACTTCTCTAGCTGGCCATATAGTCAAGAATGGAAATTGTGGTCAAAAAAAGAGGTGTCAGGAACTGGAGTCCTACTGAATTCAACTAAATGCTTCCTAGAATATGTGTTTACGATTACAACTGTAGGACATTCCGGACATTTGAAGGAATACGCATCTATTTTTAAACCATTGGCCTGTTTGGGCCTTTCCCACAGATTCTCTCTTGTCACCCCATTATCAATACAGTGATACCTCGGTTTAAGAACAGCCCTGTTTACGAACTATTCGGTTTATGAACTCCGCAAAATCGGAAGTAGTGTCCCGGTTTGCGAACTTTAACTCAGTCTAAGAATGGAAGCCGAACAGTGGAAGGGCACCTTGGTTTAAGAACGGTTTCGGTTTAAGAATGGACTTCCGGAACGGATTAAGTTAGTAAACCAAGGTACCACTGTATATTCCAAATCCAAATTTTTCTAGTGCCAAAATAACCGGTCTTATTTATCAGACATGCCAAATTAAGAAATATAGTCAAGTGTTCCTTCACTCATAGCACTGGGGTGACGGTGGGTTAAGAGCACATTTCCTGCTGCCTTGGAAATGCTTATTTTTTAATGAAGATTAAAAATCATCTTGTGGACTAGGAAACAAGTTTTATCGTCTTGGATTGGGGAAGGAAAAGCTGGCCTGACATCGATCCAGAAGAACAGAAGGAAGCACAGATGAAGCAGGCTCCTTCCAGGCCTGATGAAGCTGGAAGCATCCATCTGCTTGCTAACACAGTTTTCTCAGGAGACGAAACGCTTTTTGGAAGGGGATGTTTACTCACCAAAGCGCCACACTCTACAATCCGGCATTTTAAAAGAGAAATGCCAGGTCCCCAAATATAAAATGAATATCGACAAAGGATATTCACGTGGGTAAAATGGCTGTACGACTGCCAAGTTAAAATTTCTCTTCAGGGAACTGAAATAATATTTTTTTAAATCAGGGGACGGATTGGTTTTCTTGGGGGAAGGAATTAAGACATTCTTGAACTCTACAAAGAAGCCATAGTGTGATAAGATGCCAAGAGGAAGTTGGCTCCTTCAGATTTTGTGAGTTTGAATTACAGCAGATGTTGGAAGTTCTCCACTGTCATAACTTTGACTGTTTTCTTTTATGCCTGATTTGAAACAGTATCCTGACACCGTGCCATCAGTAAACCTGTTCCAGTTACACACATTTGTTGACCTGATCATCATCATCATCATCACCCAACATTTATGTGGTACCAAAATAATCACATCCATTGTCTTGGCAACTGTCACAACCAGCCTGTCAGCAGCACCCAAGCAAAACTGCTTCTATGCCAAGGACAAACATAACCCCCTCTTCCCAACCCTTTAAGTATTCCTTGTCTGTTTTTTAAAAACTGTTTTAGGTTGACTCTGAAAGATGGGAGGATGTTGTTGTTATTTAAATCCCAGTCTTCTGCCCAAAGGCCCAAAATATAATGAACAGCATATTGCAACAAAATATACAGTAGAGTACAATTAAACGCCATAAATCAATCAGCATGCAAGACAATATAGAGAAGCAGAATCATAACAGAAGAGGGCCAAAACAAAATCTTCCTGAGCTAACGGCTGCTCTCACCAATCCTATATCCCATATACACAGGGACTAGAAACCTGACCAAAAAAATAATACTTTAAAAAAGCTTGCCCAGCTGGAAGTATTAAGGGTCCTCTTGCCCACACAATCATTCTAACTATTTAGGGGTTCAAGACAAGCAACTGATTAACTGCCAAAGAGCATTTGTTTTGAAAAAGAAAAACTACGATTACTTACAAGATTAACAGTTGCCACAAATTGAAAAAATCCACCACCCTGTCTCATGCTTTCTAGACAATTGCACCCCCCCCCAAAAAAAAGCTTGGGATAACAAACCATTTCCCTTGGTTTAAGCTCTGCAAGCTTCTGCAAGGAGTCATTTGGTCATTTCATCTGGAGTGCCACCAGTATGCAGATGACACGCACAGCACCACCTCTGTTTCTCACCTGCTAACCCCAAGGTGGCTTTGGAAACTCCAGGACGAATTTAATGGCAATTGTTCCATCGGTGCGAGCTTTGCAGCTTGCCAGATGGAACAATTCTCCCTCTGCTCCCCCACCCCACTGTTCTGGGGACAACTCCCAGCACCCTTCAAAGCCAATTGCAGGTAGCACAGAGGGCGCTGGAGAAGTGGAAGAAAAGGCTCGTTGCAGTAGCAGAATTGCTTGTGTGTAGTGGAATCAATAGGTATTGATATGATTTTGTGGCTGATGAACAGATGACGAAAAAGAAGCCAAGAGCCAATAATGAGAAAAGTGGGTGGGCAGTTTTCCTTCAAAGCAAGCAGGACTATTTTGCTCACAATGATCCTCAGGGTAACAGCTGCCAATCACAGATGCCTCAACTCAAATTTATACAAAACTCTACATTCAGTACTTACTGGACCAGTAATAGCAGGATTCTGCAGTCTGGGGTCTTCCCACTGGGTAATTTTATTATCTGTAAGTTAACAAGAGAAACCACAACATGAGTTCTCTTCCAGAATTCTTTTTACATCCAAACTGAGATTTAAAACAAGAACAAAACAAAAACAAAACATTCCTCTTCTTGCCTATCTCTTTATAACTACATTCTGCAGTGTTAGGGGGGAAATTATGTACACCCCATCCATTAAATCCCCCATCACAACTGTTTAGTGGGAAACATCCATTCAAAAATGCAAATACCATCTATAATCTAGCACTTCATTAGTTAACAGACTTTATAGTATCACATATACAAATTATAAACCCCTCTTTCCAGGGATTTATAATTTGTGTTCAGCTCAGATTAGATATGCAAAAATGCAGACTAATGAACTGCTCCAAACACCTGACTAAATTTACAATGCAAATAGATTCTATGTTTCTCTGAGGATGACTTATTTAAAAACTACTTCTGGGATAGACATTAGGGCTATCCCACTAGCTCATAAATGTAAGGACGGACGGCTGGAATGAAATGCTAGAGGAAAAGAGTGTGATGGGTAAAGCCCTAGAGAATGGAGGAGGTTAGAAATTAAACCTTTTTAATTTGTTTTGTTTGTTTGTCAAATTCAGAGTAGACTTAATCAGAACTCTTAAGATATTAATTCAGTTACACGTTTTTAAAGCTGTCCTGCTATTCCATAGGACATGAGAGACAACCCTAGTGGAGAGAGAGAGAGAAGAAAAAAACCTGGAGCAGGCAGCTATTGGGGTATATGCATTGTTGGGGAGAAAGCTAGATGAAGACAAGAGGGCTGTATGTGTTGGGAAACAGCTTTGTGAAGAAGAAAGGCAGTTCAGAACCTATGACATAAATTATAAAGGCATCTCTTGCTCTCATAGAGAAAATTTAGGGGTTTTTTTAATCCCTTTGAGGGATATATATATACAAAATCTCTCTCTCTGTCTGTCTCTCAGCACAACTATATTTTGTGGTCTGACCACTGTGTATATGAGGAACATTCCTCAACGTCCTTAGGCTCCCCAACCTGGAGGATAAAGTGCCATTTAGGATGGTGACAAGGTCAACTCGTATGTCTGAAGTTCTCACATGCCCATATAGACTTTAAATCAAGACTCTGAAATGCAGAGACTTCATTTATATATGGGTGCTCTCAGTGTCTAAGGTGACCATGTCTGCTTTTTATTTGCGTGTGTGTCACATATTAAGACTGTGTACAGGTCTGTGCAACCCTTTGGAAGGAATGCGTTTATATGTTTTGGGGTACACCGAAGGCAGGGTGCAATGTGACGAGGCTGATTTTTACACATAGGCCTGCAACATAAGAGTGGAGAAGCTTTCCTTAATATCTGTTTGCCATCCTGTTGCGTTCATGAAGCAACTTAAGGCTTGAGGCCTTCTAGCCTTCCAAAAGGTGACATGAGGGTCCTAATACAAGCAAGCAGCTGGAAATGCTGAACTAGGGGGAATCACAGAATCATAGAATTGTAGAGTTGGAAGGGACCACAAGAGTCATCTAGTCCAACCCCCTGCAATGCAGGAATCTTTTTCCCCAACGTGGGGCTCAAACTCACAACCCTGAGATTAAGAGTCTCATGCTCTACCAACTGAGCTAACAGTCCTGGGAATTATTTGGGGCTCTTTTAAAGTTCAAAAACTGCAGCAATAGTAGTCATAAGTAGGAAAACATTGCCTTTGGGAACGTATTTACAGACTTTTACTATCTAACACACGTTAAGTGATAACAGAACACAAGTGCAATTTTAGGCTCTCAGAAACAATATACCCTTTGGCAGCACACAAACACACAAAATTAGGGGGTGGGAATCATGGCAGAACTCTTAAAATAACTTGACCATAGAGCTCACTGATATGGCTTCTTTAAGCATAAATGTATGTTTTAATAATAATAATAATAATAATAATAATAATTTTATTATTTATACCCTGCCCATCTGGCTAGGTTTCTCCAGCCACTCTGGGCAGCCCCCAGCAGTAATATTTATTTATTTATTTGCAAAAGAAATCACTGCACAACCGTGTGGTTGGAAGCATACACTACACGAGCACGGCAACGTTTTTTCTGCACTTCTTGACCTTTCAGAAACTGAGGACAGCTTTATCACAGAGAAACTGCAAATGGCTCAATTTCTGCCCTTTGCCTGTTGGTAAAGTAGGCAGAGTTGCTTGAAACCGTGATGGACGCAAGAAGGGCTTTGACTGAAATAAACATCCTTGTGTTTGTTTAAAAAAAAGATGTATCTTGGAAGTTTGGCAGCTACAATTTTTTTTTGGGGGGGGGGGGGAGGGAGAGCCTTAAAAGCCCTTCATGGTTTCAATGAATTTGGAAATGTCTGAGAATAAAAAGTCATCTGTTAAGCCAGTGGTGTCCAGACTTTTTTCAAAGGGGCCATATTTGATGAAGTGAAGGGCCGTGAGGGCCAACCAAAGGGCCGACCAAAGTTGTTGACCTTTTTGAAGTTGTTGAGCTTTCTTTTGGGTTTTCGAGGGGTTTTTTTAAGTGTTTTAGCCCAGGAAATAAACTGCCACAGGGGTTGGATTAAACCGACCAGCGGCCCAGATTAAGCCCCCAAAAGGGTCTTTGGACTTGCCTGTGTTAAGCAGTAGCTCATGGTATCGGGCGGGCGGGCGGGTGCCCCAGGACAAACTATGGAGCCTGGTTCTAGCAGGAGAACTGGCACAGCCATCGGAGCCAACACTCTTGCTTCAGCCAGTACAGAACTCTCCTTCCTTGGAGGTTTCTAAGCAGAGGTTGGATGGACATCTGCCACTGATGTTTTAGCTGAGATTCTTTGCATTGCAAGGGGTGGGACTAGACGATCCTTGGGATCCTTTTCCAACTCTACAAGTTCTGTGATTCCGTGGCACAGCTGTGTATGCATGTGGCTTACTTAAGGGAACATAGGTATGAAGTAGCCTCCTAAGAACTTCCAACACCCATAAGGAATAATAGAATCATAGAACAGTAGAGCTGGAAGGGGTCATCAAATGTAGTCCAGCCTCAGGCAAGGCAGGAATATTATGCTCAACATGGGAGTGAGTTGGTTTTAAAGCACTGGCGACGGCAAGTGACCATTTCATCACCCTGCACCCAGATTTTGAAGCTTGGGGTACCATGTTTGTGACAGGAGAATTAAAATCTATTCCTGGGGCTGCCACAAAAAGCAGCTATTTAGGATTGAGAGTGGCAACAAATCAATGCTTAGGATGCAGCGTACCCCAAGCTTCAACATTGAAGACATATTATACTGGAAGAGGTGGAAGATACAGAGAATTAAGGGGTAACTGGTGGCTTTAAGCTTCAGTTTCTTAGTTATATACGAGTGTTCTCTCTTCCCCACACACAAAAGGGCCAACCTAGTTCTGAAAGTGTATGAATTCTATTCCTTATACTAAAGCCACGATACTACTTAAAAGCTATTCATGCACTTGCAAAATATTTAAGCTACTTTACCCAAGCAGTTTAATTGAGAATAAAAACCTGGCACCATACAACTACGGATACTTCTAGTGGTTAATTCTATGGAGTTCTAAGGAAAACATAGAACACAACAATGGCGCATTGATTTTTTTAAAAAACAAAAGTTAATTTTACAAGTTCAATACTACTTTCTTCTGTTTTCCTTTTTTTTTAATCTCAAGAAGATATTTAATGAGCAATATGTATTCATGAAGATATAAAGAAAAAAAATCACAAACACTCCCAGCAGAAGAACAAATTATTTCTGTTGCCACTTGATAGTCAAAACACAACAAAGACCCACACACTTGTTCAGAGGTGCTGTAATAGGACAGGGTCTACAATGAAACACCATTTACACTGGAACTTCAAGGAACAGAAGTGTAGAGAGATTAACAGGGAGAGTGCAAGATTAACATGCCACAAATAGAAAATAAGGTCAGAACTGGCGTTGCCCCAAGACCTTCTTTGAGTAATTTGTGGGGGGGAAGATTCTATTGAAAATTTCTTCCACTGCCTACATAGACAGACTCGTGGCTACATCATTATTTTTTTTCTCATCTTATTTTCTATTCCTAGAGTGTGCTTTCGTTTATTAATAAGTGCATATAAGCCATGGGATCCATCCACAACACCAAAAAATAAAAAATAAAAAAAATCCAAAGAAGTTCAACAAAAACAACCACAAAGAAGAAATGTTAATGCTTCACAAGATCAAATAGGGACAAAGCTTGATGAGCCAATTAAAAGCAAGCTTTTGGTGAATTATACAGTACCGTAGGAAGGCACTAATTCTCGGGTATGAATGTCGCCACATATCAACACCTGGCTTCCTAAATGAAGAGTAAAATTACAAAGCTTTCACTTCAATATTGATTACCTCCCTTCATCTACTTGCTGTAGAACCTGCGTGCCTACTTACTATGGTCTATATAAAACGTTCTTCCATCCAAATGTATCCTTTCCTCCCAACCAGGCTGTAATTAAAGAACAAAAATAAACAAATAAACAAAACAACATCAGCAGGAGAATTAATATTTATTGATGTACTAATGTGCACTTATTTCAAGCAGGCAAACCTATCTTCTTCTCCCTTTAAGAATGCTCCACGTTGGTATATACAGTTGTTCTGAGGTTCGGTTTTGCATTCTGAGCCATGTGCGATCCGAGGAACGCATGGCTCTCTTGCACACAATGGGTACCACCTATTCCAGGGAAGGGAACCAGATTGTGCATACCAAATGGTGATATGTGGATCTGGTTCTTTCCCATCAAACCAACGGACAGGGAGAACGTCCAAGCCAAACGGAAGCTGCTTTCATTCCTGGAGAATGGTTGGATTCTAGGTCTGGACAGAGGTGTTCCCAGCAACAAAGCCTCCATTGCAGTCAAGATTGCCAGAGTTGAGAAAGACAAGAGAGGGCATGCGCTGCAACCTGAAGGCTCCAGATTCGGCTCCTGGCTTCTCTACTCTCAGGGAGCAGGGCTCAGAAATGCTTCTGATGTGGGAGGGCTGCTTGCAGTCAGAACTAACAGTACAGTCGTACCTCGGAGGTCGAACAGAATCCGTTCCGGAAGTCCATTTGACTTCCGAAACGTTTGACTTCTGATTGGCTGCAGGAAGCTCCTGCAGCCAATTGGAAGCCGCGGAAGCCTCGTCGGACGTTTGGCTTCCAAAAGAACATTCGAAAACAGGAACACTCACTTCCGGTTCTTGACTGTTCGGGAGCTGGAACGTTCGACTCCCAAGGCGTTTGGGAGCCGAGGTACGACCGTATGGGGCTAAGGATAAACCCACAGTCTGACTCCGTGTTAAGGCAGCTTCTTAGAATAGTTTTATTCTTAGCCTTTAGAATAGGGGCACGTACAAATGGAACACAACACAGCTTTTCCCAGGAGGTAAACATAATATGTGTGTTGGGGTGGGGGAAGAGACCACTGAGAGCAACAAAATCGGTTCTCTTGTTTCTTATTACTGGAATGCAAACCAGTGGCATCTTCCTACAATCCTACAAATTGTCTGCCTCTCAGAGGACAGTCTGAAATGCAAAGTTGTCATTTACTCGTGTAAATTAAAGCCACGAAGCAGACTCTCTGTTCACGCTGCAGAAAAGAATCCAGCCATTAAGCTGGATTTGAGAAGGCCTATGAAAGAACGGGGGAGAATAATATGTACATATATACATATCTCCATCAGCAGGCTGAGAATATATTATGAAATGAGTCATATTCCCTACTTGATGATATTTGCAAGTCTTCCCTCTCTTTAAAGCCTAACTGCTTTTGATTTGGTAGCAACCATCCGGAATCCAGAGACCGTGCAGTGATTTAACCTTCAGCGAAGGCTACGTTTGTCCTTTCATATGCCACAGCTAAATGGGCAGGCATTGCAGCCAAGCAGTCAAGTGACTGGACACTTCAAAAGTGCTGTTAGAAAGACTCTGGGGGACACGTTTTTGTTCACAGTAAAGCAGCAGGTACAACAGACACAACCGCCACCGCACACAAATCTATCCACACATGCAGCAAGCGTCTAGATCAAACTGTACAAACGTATGAAGGTGGATACTTACAGGAAGGGGACCTAAGTCGTTAGGGTTTAAAGCAGCTTTTGAACGCAGGTGCACTGGGAATTTCAGCCGCGGATCTTCCTGTAATTGCAAGCAAGTTGCTGTAAGAACGTCATAGCTTGGATTGCACACACATCCATTTCATATTTAAACCTTTACTCAGGCCTCTCCTATCAAAGCCATTTCTTCACTAATTCTTTGATTCCGAGAAGAAGTAGTCACTTTGTATACTGAACCTTGCAACCCACTATTGCATTTGCGGTATAACGCAAACCACGTACACAACTATTTTGAAGGAATGTTTTCTTTAGGAGTGCATAGTTCAAATGAGCAGATGCAAACCGTTTTCAACAGTAACTCGTGCAACTGTTTTAGCTTCTTCCCCCTTCTCGTGAAAACAACATTCCTTATAGCTGATTGCATGCTGAACTTTCAAGCAACCTATTAAATAATGTACAGTGGTACCTCGGGTTACATATGCTTCAGGTTACATACGCTTCAGGTTATGGACTCCGCTAACCCAGAAATAGTACCTTGGGTTAAGAACTCTGCTTCAGGATGAGAACAGAAATCGTGCGGCGGCAGCAGGAGGCCCCATTAGCTAAAGTGGTGCTTCAGGTTAAGAACAGTTTCAGGTTAAGAACAGACCTCTGGAACGAATTAAGTATGTAACCGGAGGTACCACTGTAATGAGCTTTGTTCAAACCTTATAGCTAGAAATCTCACACCTGGCTTTTGGTATATCTCTAAGGGCTGCAACCCTAAACCTACTTAGCTGGCAGTAAGCCCCAATGAATTTATGACTAGATAGGATTTCAGCCTATTAAAACCTACAGGGTTCTATGCAGCTGGGCAGAGGTTTGCAGTTTATTTTTTGCTATGCAGTTTCACTCCGTCTCAATTATTCTGGAGAAGGCCAGATATGCAGGCTGATATTGTAACACCTTTTTTTATTTATTTCCGGTGTCTGGAGGAGCCCAGGAGGCTGAATGTGAGGCAGAAGGATTGGGAGAGTTGCTATCAGTGAGCATTTACAATGCTTAGTTAGCTAGACCAATGGTCTGACTTGATATGAAGGCAGCCTTCTATGCCAATAAGAGCATAACAGAAAGCAGCACGGCAGGATACAGAGAGAAGCTTTTGAAGATGGCGTTGTGTGTGCAGAGATAACAAGAATTATGGCACTGTAGAGTTGGAAGGGACCATGAGGGTCATCTAGTCAAACCCACTGCAATGCAGGAATCTTTTGCCTGACACGGGGCTCAAACCCATGACCCTGAGATTTAAGAGTATTGTGCTCTACCAACTGAGCTATCTCTGGATGTAAAAGACGACATCTAGAGAGCAATGCAAATGAGTTCAGAATGCACCGTAAGCTCCTTAGGGAAAGGACATGTCTATATATATATATATATATATATATATATATATTCATTCTCTAAAATGCCAAGTACCGTGGCCTAGCAACAATAATAATAATTGACTGGAGAAGTTGGAGAAACTGGCTATTTTCAGCACAGAGCATACAATATAGGGTTATAGGGCAAAAGCTTTAAAGCATAATGTGCGTCCGCTGAGCTGCTGCTAAGAAGGAGAACATAATATTTAAAATCCCATGGAGTAGCTTATCAGAAAAAAAACATTACAGGCTGAAACGATAGTTCAAAAAAGAAACAAGTGTAGAAGCCGCCTGTAGACTACCCTCTACTGAATTCTGCTGAAATATACTGTGGTATCTCCCCACTCCCTGCCGCTTCCACCCCAACTTTCATATGTTTTCTGGTCTCTGTTGCTAAGCCCTGTACACACACCCCAGGTCCCCCGCAAAAGAGACGCACACATTTGGAATTCCTCTTACCCATGTAGTGGTCTTTGTGTTGTGATCGATAAAGAAAGGTCTGCCATTGGGTGCTATTCGCATCTCCCAGCCAGGAGGTAAGAAGCTTTGCGTCAACTTATGCTGTGGTTTTGGAGAATTGTAGGGAGAAGGCTGCGGAGATTGGGGGTTAGAAAGGGTGTCCTTCACAGCTCTTCGCACAGGAGAGTCCTTGATCAGTCCCTGTGGGAAGAAGCAGCGGTAAGAATCAAGACGGTCATCTTACAGTGTGAAAGATGCCAGGTTAAAAAAAAAAAAATTTATTCATTATTACATTTCTATCCCACTTCGAAGGAGCTGCCGGTGGCACGCACTGTTTTCTGCCTCTCCATTTAATCCTCACAACAACCCTGTTCAGTAGGTTAGGAGAGGGGTCAGCAACCTAAGGCCCAGGGGCCACAAAAGGCCCACAGGGGCCGTTTAACCGGTCCACAAGCTGCTTCCAAACCGAGCCGCCCGCTCGGCGAGTCCCCGCGCGCTGCGTTAAACCGGCGTGGTGCAGGGACTCCCTTCTGTGGCACCGGAAATTGCTTCTGCGTAGACGCCAGAAATCGCAGGCGAGCGCACTCACACGCATGCGATCCGGCCCACAGAGGGATCTCCGCTGGAGTGAACCGGCCCAAGCGAGGTAAACCTTGCTGCCCCTGGGTTAGGCTAAGAGACTGGCTTCAAGGTTACCCAGTGGACTTTTATGTCGCTGAGTGGGGATTTGAACCCAGGTCTCCCAGTGCACTAACCACTACACCGCAGAGATCTTCACTTGGTATGAAAGGATTGAAAGCACATAATCATCCCCATTGCCTGGAAAACAGCCATTATTCCTTGTCTAATGCACTTTAAACATGTGGACGCGCAATAAGCACAGACACACACACACACACAGTTATTATTGTGGTTAGGCTGAGACACGATGCAGAAGACAGTGCAAGCCCCAAATCTCACCTTCCGAGGGCATACCTTTTTGGGAAGCGGGTGAGGAGAAACCCAAAACTCCCACCACCCACCACAATGCAATCCCATCACCCCAAAATCCGCAGCATAGGTATTTCAATGCACTAGAGCAATGATGGCCAAACTTGGCCCTCCAGCTGTAATGGGACTACAACTCCCATCATCCCAAGGTAACAGAACCAGTAGTCAGGGATGATGGGAATTGTAGTCTCAAAACAGCTGGAAGGCCAAGTTTGGCCATCACTGCATTACAGCGTCAGCCTGCCTTTTCTTACCAAGTATAACGCCACAATTTTAACCAAACGCTCAGAAACCACAGCATGAAAAGGAAAATAAAAGCAATGGTTTATCTTTAAGGAAGAAGGGAGCGGGGACGAGACTGAGGAGACGAGTTCATTCCGGCCATTTTTCCAGAGCCCCAAATCCTCTCTCCCCTCCCTCCCTCCCTTCCTTCTTTATTTGACTTCTTACTTGCTGTTCACCATAAGGCCCCAAAAGTGGGTTGCAGCAATGAAATATGCAATTATAAAACAAACGGAACAATTACAACCGTAAAACAAGAAAAGCGCAAAAACAAATAAAAGCAATTCCATATATAAAACAATTAAAACAAAAAACCCTTCCTGATCTTACCACTGGGCCATTCAAATATAAGTTACACTTTGTTGAGCAACAAACTTTCTCCTCAACAATGTGATGAGGAAGAGAGAGGAGCTAAACTTTCATATTAAGACACAGACTGTATACTGTATAGCAGACAAGAAGTACATTGGAGTGGGTGCAGAATATGAGGAGAAATTAGGGGGTTGGACATGAAGATCCCAGGCAGTGCCCCACCTAGGCACTGACCAAACCCATACCTTCTTGAGCTGTCTGCTTTAGGTGCCTTCAGACCTTGCCCTGATCTGAGAGTATGTGTTTAAAATGAGGACTCGCACGCATCATTCATTGGGAGCACACAGCATGCGTGCGCACGGATGTGGTAACACAGGGAAGCATAATGTGCACAGCTGTTCGGAGCTGGGAAGCTGGCAGCAGTGGGCCATTTCTTGGTGGCAAGGGTTTTGAACATTGGTCTCCCAGCCTGCTTAGGCAAAGAAGTGGCAAAAAGGGATTCAAATCTGAATCCTTCTTGCCATAAAATGCTGGCAATGAGAAATCTCATTTGCGGGTTTTCAAAGTAAGGAAGCAGCTGTGCCTTCAACTACTCATTATCTTTGTAAAGCAAGGTTGCATATGCTGGCCTCATTTGTGTGCACGTCTTGTTGTTCACTGAAAGGGCATAACTTGGTGGTAAAGCACCCGATTTGCACACAGAAGGTTTAGGTTCAATCCCTGCAATCTCCAGGGATTGGACTGGGAATGTCTGAAACCCCAGAGGACTGCAGCCATGAAATACAGACAATATTGAACCTCCTAGGAGGGTTCACATGACGCAGGCACTCCAGGCACAGGGGGTGTCCAACAATCTGATTGCTATTGGGGTAAGGTAAAGGGACCCCTAACCATTAGGTCCAATCGCGGACGACTCTGGGGTTGCGGCGCTCATCTCGCTTTACTGGCTGAGGGAGCCAGCGTACAGCTTCCGGGTCACGTGGCCAGCATGACTAAGCCGCTTCTGGTGAACCAGAGCAGCGCACGGAAATGCCGTTTACCTTCCCACCAGAGCGATACCTACAGTATTTATCTACTTGCACTTTGATGTGCTTATGAACTGCTAGGTTGGCAGGAGCAGGGACCGAGCAACGGGAGCTCACCCCGTCGCAGGGATTCGAACCACTGACCTTCTGATCGGCAAGCCCTAGGCTCTGTGGTTTAGACCACAGCGCCAAATAAGGGGTCTGTCTAGTGTTCAAAGTGTGCACAAGTCTATTTCCTATGCCAGCTTTTCACACTAATCAACACACTCTGAGCTGTGATATTTAAATATGTGGTGCATTGAGAATCTGACTTTGTGTAATTGCAAATATTGTTACTTCCGATTTCAACCTTTCAGTGTTTCATCCACTGTGATTATTAATCCGTGCAAAGTTGTCACACTCAGTTGCTAAAAACTTAACTTGCAGTGCTTTCCTCCTCCCCAGCTGTCACTTACAATACAGAAATCATGAATATTTCCCCCAACGGCTAAATGAAAAATACAAAATGTATTCACTTGCTTTGATTCTGTAGCTGGCTATTTTTTTCTGATGTGCACCTATGGTTTTTGAGCAAATACTTCATAAATAAATTACTTCTTAGAAAAGCAGCAGTATGTGAAAGTCCAAAAACAGCAGGAGATCTGAAAGTTGGGCCAATCTGAATGGGGGGAGGGGTTGCATGTGGTTCATCAAATGAGTTTTTTTTCAAAAGATACTGCTTTTTATTATTATAAAGGGGTATCTTTGTATTATCTCAAAAGAATTAATTTCAACGGGGAAATTACTTCCCTTCACCAGAAATGTTTTCAGCAATGCAGAGACTGAATAGAATTATATCACATTGAAAGTGCCTAGATTTTCTGACCATTGAGCAGAAAAATAAATGTTTGGCAGTGAACAACAATATCTACTTTACAACCAAAAGCTCATCTTCATAGAACAAACTGAACTGAAGGATTTATATTCAAATGCAAAACAGAAAATAAGAGTCAAATTGAAAAGTTACATTCATAACTCAATCTACATGCCCTTGGCTTTGTTGACTGAAACAACCAAAAAAAGAAGGAAATTAAAATAACAATTTGAATATTTCTTAAGTGATGATCCTATAAGATTTGAAATAAAAATAGGAACATGTCTACTATGTTCAGCATAAGAACTGGTCAGAACAGCAACGTGTAAATGCACAAAATAAAGATAGAGGCGAAACATAACCTGTAAGACGCAAATGTAATTTTTTTGAGGCACAAAGGAGTTTTTGCAAAAGACTGACAAGTGGACTGGAAAACTGGAAGTAAAAGTAAGAAATAACAACAAGATAGAGAGGATGGGAATCCAGGAGGAAGGGAAGGCTTGGGAATTGAAGATAGCACTTCTCACCTCAAGTGGTGCAGATAATGTTACTGTGGGAGTACTGAGGCTACGAGGCCGTCTGATCTGAGGCTCACTTAGGTGGTTGTTACTGTTTGATGTTGACCCAGTCGCACCATCCTCAGCAAGCTATTTCAGAGGCAAACACAAGTTAGCTACATGTTATGACCTTCCTCGCCAAAAGACGAGCCATTTCACGATCAAACAATTTCCAAACGTTCGTGCCGGTCGGTGAATTATTAAATAACTTTTTCAGCAATAACATTCCTGCCTGGGGGGGGGGGAATGATCACACCTGGAACAATTTCTGCCATGCTGTCAAAATCCTGCTTTTCAATTGCATTCTAAATGTTTAGGAGTAGCTTTTTTTTTTTTAAGAGTGAAGGCTTTTATAACTATTATATCAAACCAATGTGGGTGAGGCATTTAGACAGCTCAAATTATGGGGCGATGGGGGATGAGGAAGGGAGAAAAAGGCCCAGCCCTCTTAGTCACTGTTTTGGAAGGCTACAATTTGTGTGCACAAGATCTAAAATCCAGGGGTTGGGAGGGGGTGTGCTTGTGGATTTAAGGCCTCTACTACCTCTTCTTTCATAATGTGCACACTAGGTTTACCCATTACTCCTTTCCCTCATTTTTTAAAAAAAATATAGTATAGCACTAAAGGTAAAGGTAAAGGGACCCCTGACCATTAGGTCCAGTCGTGACCGACTCTGGGGTTGCGGCGCTCATCTCGCTTTATTGGCCGAGGGAGCTGGCGTACAGCTTCCGGGTCATGTGGCCAGCATGACTGAGCCGCTTCTGGCGAACCAGAGCAGCGCACGGAAACGCCGTTTACCTTCCTGCCGGAGCGGTACCTATTGATCTACTTGCACTTTGACATGCTTTCAAACTGCTAGTTGGCAGGAGAAGGAACCAAGCAACGGGAGCTCACACCGTAGCGGGGATTCAAACCGCTGACCTTCTGATCGGCAAGTCCTAGGCTCTGTGGTTTAACCCACAGTGCTACCCACGTCCCTTATAGTATAGCACTAGGAGCAGTTTATTTATTAGTATGAAACAGGTACATAAGCCCTACTAGCTAATGCTTCTTCATGTACCACATTTACTGTAGCTTGCCTACTTGCGTCCAAAAGGTTCCCTAAGCAGGATAACTTTTGGCTGCCCAAGATTATATTTTTGCTCAAGTTAAGTTCAACATTGGCTTCTCTCGATGCAGTCATTTCACCTCCCCATTCCACTACAGCACCCGACCTCTAAGAGTAGCAGAAAAGAACAAGAATTCCCTTGTTCCTCTTTGCTATTGCAAAAAGCACCCAGGACCTGTTGCAGGGGGAGCAGATGAGTGAGTGGCAGGTATGAAAAAGGGCTGGTTCTTCACGCGTTGGAACAGACAGCTGCTACAGTCACCCAGAGGCTCATTCGCAGCTTCCTGCTTGGACCAGTCTCCTGATGTATGAATGGCACCAAGCTCTTAGAAAAACACTCAGTGATACAACTCCCACCAGCTAGTTAAGGATTAGTTACCTAAATCACTGCTTATTCTCTGCGCCTGCTTGTTTACATAACTTGCTTACTGCTGTTCCATGCTTCTGCCTGGTTTCAGATGTTATCTTCTGGCCATGGTCAGCTCATGTACAATTTCACTTGCTTTCTTGGCTGCTAACTTATACTTATAAGACTGGTGTTAACAGTGGTTACAGTTAACCAGCTTCCCCTTAAGTCAGGATCTGAAACCCACTTCAAATCGTAGCTTTAATGGGGCTTTATGGGGAATACCGGTTAGTCTTTTACAGACCCTCCAAGTGTCCCTATTTTCCAGGAACAGCCCTGGATTTACAGAAGCTGTCCCGGTTTCTGAATTGTGCCTGGAATTTCCCGCTTTTCCTTAGGATGTCCCTATTTCCATTGGAGAAATGTTGGAGGGTATGGAGTTATCCGACCCGCCCAAGCCACCTGAAGGCAGCCCTATATAGGAGTGGCTGGGGCAGCCCAGTCACATGGGTGGGGTATAAATAGCAAAATTAATAATAATAATAATAATAATAATAATAATAATAATAGAATAGGATGTCCCAGTTTTCATTAGAGAAATGTTGGAGGCTACGTTAGCATTGTGAGGGAAAGGGGAGAAATTGTTCCAAGGAAAGCAAGAACTGCACTGAAGACCCACTACATTCTTCGGGATCGGTTACACTTTGTTAAAATGCAGGTAACTTTTTGTCTTCAACAAGCAAAAACGTAGAGTGCTCTTGCTGCAGTTTGACAATCACAGCTTCATTTAGGCAAGCAAGAACAGAGAATTTTGCTCTTCTTCACCTAGTTACGAAATAGCCCATCACCGCCTTGCAATGACCCAGTTCTGCCGCCCCCTCCCCCCGAGTGAAGATGTTATTAAGCGGATGAAGGGTGGACATGTGTCACGATGTGCACCTCCTGGGTTTGATGCGTATTGAAACTGGCACTGGCCAGCGCCAAACAGAGCAGATCTTGCCTTAGTCAAGGCATGTCTTCTCAGCTAAAACCAATTACTTCCCCCGAAACTGTCCTCCCCCATGCCTATAGCTGTCATTCTGAAATTTGACACGACCACGGAATGGAAACGACTCCACACACACTCTATAAAACATTCTGTCGCTTTTCTCTGGATAGCAAGTTCCGTACCTGCATGATAGGACGAGTCCAAGTTGTGGTTCGATTGTTATGATTGACATAGTAAGTACGACCCTTAGCATCTTTCCTCTCTTCCCAGCCCGAAGGTAAGCCCGGTGTAGTATGTACATAGGCCACTGATGGCTGTTTATGCAAGAAATTACCATAGTGTTACTATGTGACAGCGGGTCATTCGTACAAACAACATTTGCAGCAGCAGCAGTACAACCAGGAAGTGTGTGTCGGCACAGCACCTCCCTCTTAGAAGGCAGGCTCGCGTTCAGATACACAAGGGTTCATTTCCATCCTCTGGAGCATGGGTCACAAGAGTGACAATAAAATTGCAATGTGCTGAAATCAAGAGGGATACAAACATTGTCCAGCTTGAGAGAAGCGTATTTCACTTTATCCTCGCTGAAGATACTGTTTGTTCATGAAAGACAGGCAAAAGGAAGAGCGGAAGAGTATAAAAAGACTTAGCAGAATCAAACACTGCTGCCAGGAGCACCGAGAAGAAAATTGTTTTACTCCCATTAACCAGCATTCCTTCAAATAATGCACAATTGTTTGTTTCCCTAGCTAGCTGAAATAAGTCAGCAGAAACAGGAGGTTTGTCAAACCTTTTGTGGCTTGTGGGCAATATTTGTTTTGCTGGGTCACCGGCTGTGCAGCCTTGAATCCAAATACGTTGGTTAATAATGAAACAGACTTTCAGATATGTCACCATCCATTGTATAATATATGGGATTTACAAATATTTGAGCATTGTATTCCTGATTTTATGATGTCTTCCTTCCGTGAAGCTCCCCTGCCTCCGCTTTTGATTCTCAAAACAACCTTCCAAGATAGGTAAAGACCAGGGTTTCCCAAACTGGGTGTCTGTTTCTGGACTACAGTTCCCATCATCCCTGACCACTGGTCCTGCTAGCTTGGGATGATGGGAGTTGTAGTCCAATGGCAGCTGGAGACCCAAGCTTGGGAAACACTGGGTTAGACTGAGAGTCACCCCGTGAACTTATTTGGACTTGGGTCTTCCCAGGTTTAGTTTGGTACTCTAATCACTACAGTCACAACTGGCTCAGTGGCAGATCACCTGCTTTGCATGCAGAAGGACCCAGGTTAAATCCCTGGTATCTCTAGGTAGTGTTGGGCAAGTCTCCTACCTGAAACCCAAGACATCTGCTAGCAGTCCGTGTATGCAATATGGTTTGAGTCCACATAAGGCAACTTCCTATGCCCTCAAGTGGTTTCTATTTTCCTTCTTAAGGCCAAGGCTTCTTGCAGGCATCTGTTCTGCTGCTTGCACATTCAGACAGAAATATTGACACTGCAAGCCACCTACTAATCACCTGCTAACAACTGCTGAGCTCTACTTTGGTCTCTGAGGTCTCATTTGTCAAGGGGTTCCTCATAACTAATGAACATAGAATGTGAGATCCCCTGGTTGCAATACAATAAAGGCAACACAAGACAGGAAAACCAGATATGCCAAATCAGGCCAGAGTGCAAACAATGTAGGGTTCACTGTTTATGAACTTTCCCCCTATATTCACAAAGGAATGTATCTGTATACAGACAGTCACTGAAGGTCAAACTATACATTACATTTAATATGTGGCACTGGTTTCTTACTCAAATGTAAGCAGTGGGGATCTGGATCAGAGTCCTGGCCACAACACCAGGAACTAAACAAGTCTCCATGGCAGCTAGAAACAGTGAAAAAGCTCCCCTTGTTACAAAGGCAAGGTGGGTTTTTTTGGTTTTTTGGTTTACTGTAAATGGAGTGACAATTTCAGAGATGGTCACAGTTGGGGAAGAAACTGCTATACATCAGTAACAATCTACGTGGATTAAAGTCTGCAATCTTTCTGTGGAAGTAAAAATAAAACCACGCATTCAGGAAGCTGAAGCAAGAATTGATCGTGGGTGCTGGTGAACATTTATATGTTCTCCGGAACAGTTTCAGATGGAATTATGGGTACAGATTTGAAAATTGTTTTGAATTTTGTTTTGTTTAGAGAAGGTGAGAGGTAACTCCTGCTCTGAAAAACGTGGTGCTTTTTAAAAATTGCATGTTATGAGAATGATGATTAATTAATGATGACTAGAGAGGAAAAAGGTGGAAATGCCAGAAAGGGCTGCTCAGCAGTCTCTATATCTCTACACACACACACACACACATATAAAAGAAACCAAGCGGTCTTGTGTGAAATCCTCTTAAGAGCTAACAGATACTTTATGCTCAGCTGGCATCACAGTTTGGTACACTCTCCCTTTTCTACACATCCTTTTGCTCTAAAAATGTCTCCACTGAGTTGAGGAGAAACTAATATTAAACGTGCAAAAAGGGATGGGGCCTGTCTCCAAAGGGATCTTGTGGTAGTGGAAGGGCAAGTCTTAACGTTGTGCAACAGGGGATCCAACACGCCAGCTTTGCTAGCGGAAGCTTGTCGTGCAACCGGATTGTGCTATGCTCCACACCTGCTAATGCGTTCTCTTGTGGAACAACTTGTGGAATATTTTGGCAGCGAAAAAATTACGCTGCTAAGTGGGTTGGATACAACCCTAAATAATTTAGGAGATTGTGGGCTGTATCCAACGAAGCATATTCCGCTTACGCAATGGGGCAGTCCCCTTCTTCTGGGCAGCCCTCTCTTTGAGGGGTTTGTCCAGTTCTAGTCTGGATTCAGATGAAGACTCCTAAGAAGGTGGAGCAGGGCTCTTGAAGTTGCCCGTCAAAACAAAACACCCAGACAGCACACTCAACAGGCACTCAGCCTTCCTCTTTATTACTGTACTTAAATTATAGTAATTATTTCTATATATGCATCAAAAAAATGCAAATTAGCGCAAGCAATTATTTTTTTGAAATCTGGGATGTGTGATGCGTTTCTTTTTTCCCCTAGCAGTGCTTAAGTGGCCCATGTGAAAAGCTAGTAAGCTCTCAATATGTATGTCAACAGAGACAGGGAATAATGCATTTGCCTAGGAATAAAAAGTTATCTCTTGCTATTAAAGTACAGTCATACCTCGGGTTACGAACACTGTGGGTTGCACGTTTTCGGGTTGCGGACTGCACCGGAACGGGTTACTTCTGGGTTTTGGCACTCGTGCATGTGCACAAATTGACGTCACTCGCATGCGCAGAAGCACCGAATCGTGTCACACGTGTGCGCAGACACACCACTGTGGTTGCAAACGTGCCTCCCGCACGGATCATGTTCACAACCCGAGGTATGACTGTAACTAGATTTCCTTTCTGGGCTATATCTATTTTTTAACTTATGGGTCGCAAAGATTAAAATAAATAAATCTGTGCTTTAATTTCCAAGAAAACACTTTTCATGCATTTTAGCCATTACCCCTTCCTCTCTGTTTCAAGCTGAGCTATATTAATGTAAGCCCCCTACCTGAAATAATCGATGAAGAAATGGCAGTGGGTTGAAGAATGAGTGCCAATACTCTAGATCGCCCGGTATAATCTTTGACGTGCTGTTGCAACACAAAGCTTTCTCCAAAAAATGAACAACTAGAACCTCCGGCTACTTCTGCTGTCCTTTATAGATTTTTGTATTGTTTTCAGATTAGTACCACTGCCAATGCTAAGGGTATTAATTAAAACCACTATGCTTAAAATGCCCAAAGTACTTGTAGCCAAGTTGAAAAACAGAATGTGCCTCCATGACCCAAGAAGAGATATGAAAGTTGTGAGGACCAAGTTAGAACATTCAATGGATTCTTGGGCAGCCACTGATGATGGCATTGCTGTACCTCCCCCCTTTTTGGCACTCTGGTAAGTGCTGGACAGCTGCTGTTATTATAGGCCACAATACCCTGAATTACAGTGGTACCCCGCAAGACGAACGCCTCGCAAGACGGAAAACCCGCTAGACGAAAGGGTTTTCCGTTTTGGAGGCGCTTCGCAAAACGAATTTCCCTATGGGCTTGCTTCGCAAGACGACAGCCCATAGGAAATCTCAGGGACAGCGGGAAGCGCAGCGCGTCTTCCCCACTGTCCTCGGACCTCCTCCGAAGCCTGGCGGCGGGGCGGGGACACCTCCTCCCGCCGCCGCCGGGCTTCGGAAGGCTCCTCCGAGCCGGGCGGGGGAGGGAACACCTGCCGCCGCCGCCCGGCTTCGGAAGGGTGCTCCGAGCCGGGCGGGGGAGGGAAGACCTCCGCCTCTGCCCGGCTCGGAACGGTGCTCCGAGCCGGGCGGTGGGGAGGAAGACCTCCCCGCCGCCCGGCTTCGGGAACGGTGCTCCGAGCCGGGCGGGGGAGGGAACACCTCCGCCGCCGCCCGGCTCGGGAACGGTGCTCCGAGCCGGGCGGGGGAGGGAAGACCTCCGCCGCCGCCCGGCTCGGAACGGTGCTCCGAGCCGGGCGGGGGAGGGAAGACCTTCTGAAGGCGGGCGGGGGCGAAAGTCTTTGCTCCCCTGCCTGCCTGTCCCGGAGGGCTTTTGAAGGCGGGGAGCAAGACTTTCGCCCCCGCCCGCCTTCAGAAGAGGTCCAGGACCTCTTCTGAAGGCTGGCGGGGGCAAAGTCTTTGTCCCCCTGCCTGCCTTCCCAGGGGCTTTAAATTGCCCCGGACAGCGGAGAAGTCCTCCGCTGTCCCGGGGTGATTTTAAAATGCCGCCCGCCAGCATTTTAAGATCGCCCGGACAGCGGAGAAGTCCTCCGCTGTCCCGGGGTTTTGTAAAATGCTGGGGGTGGGAAGAAAAGCCCTTGCCCCCCCCCCAGCCTTCAGAAGAGGTCCGGGGACAGACTGTCCCCGGACCTGGTCTGAAGGCGGTTTCCCTAGGAACGCATTAATTGATTTTCAATGCATTCCTATGGGAAACCGTGCATCGCAAGACGAAAAACTCGCAAGACGAAGAGACTTGCGGAACGAATTAATTTCGTCTTGCGAGGCACCACTGTAATGCTATTTCACTGTAGGAGTACCTCTGCTCCCTTTTCCTCCTCCTATATAAGCCTGTCCATCCATGCAGAAATGAAATTGCTTTGAGGACTTCATGCTGTGAGTCTCTTCAAACCTGGAACCAGTCTGCTGTTAAGCCCCATACAGAGTGCATGTAAAAAGCTAAAGGACCCCTGGGCGGTTACGTCCAGTCAAATTCGACTATGGGGTGCAACGCTCCTCTCCACTTTCAGGCCGAGGGAGCCGGTGTTTCTCCACAGACAACGTTCCGGGTCATGGGGCCAGCAGGACTAAACCGCTTCTGGCGCAACAGAACACTGTGATGAGTGCCAGAGCGCATGGAAATGCCATTTACCTTCCTGCTGCAGCGGTACCTATTTATCTACTTGCACTGGCATGCTTTCGAACTGCTAGGTTGGCAGGAGCTGGGACAGAGTAACGGGAGCTCACCCCGTTGTGGGGATTCGAACCACCGACTTTCCGATCGGCAAGCCCAAGAGGCTCAGTGGTTTAGACCACAGCACCACCCGCTCCTTTTTACCTTTAGCGTGTATGTAGGTGGAATTGGTTGTGGTCATTCATGCTTTCTGCTTACTGGTTGGGCTTATATCCTCCCTGCCCCCCCCCCGGAATTTTCCGGTCACTTGGGTTATGGAGGAGGGGCCTCGCAAAGGACCCTGTACTGTGTTTTCCCTCTGATTTATTGTTTCGACCATCTCCCATGCCCATCAGCAATGGCATCCCTATTTACACTGGTCCAAATGGAGAGAATTCACAGGTGGGCATTCCAATAAAATTAAGTCAAAATTGCAGCAAGTATTTCCCCTCTGGGGATCGCGGAGATAAACGCTCTGCTCCTATTTCTTAAAAATTCCTGCACCTACACAAATTTATCCTTCCTCCTCCTCCTCCTCTTTTGGTACGAGAAGAAGCTGGGAATCAGCCTTTCAAGAAATAAAAATACATCGGAATAAACTTCAAATGCCAGGTCCAAAATGATGTACAAGAAGGGCGGGAGGTCGGAAAAATGGTGCCTATCATATTGTGGGTACTTTCTGATGTGGGGCTTTATAATTTGAACTGTATCAGTTGTTTATATTAAAATTATATTATAATTTTACTGTATGGTGTCTATGTAGCTGAAAGGTAAGGGGTGTGTGTGTGTGTATAATATTCACTCACTGAGAGAAGTGAGCTTACAGGGAACTAGGCAGAGGGCT